AAATTATTAAAATAATGTTATTGATATATTTTCATGGAAACAGTATGAAAATTACAATGTATAGATGTTTTGTATGAATTTGGTGGCTGTTTTTTATAAATTCCAACTGCTTAACATGTGTTGGATTAACGTTACATATCACTTCACATTGTTTTTTTTATATTTAGGTAATTTAGTAATTGTGTTTTGCTACATATATGCTTAGATTAAACTAAAGAATATCATCAATAACTAAATTGTACGCAGTTGGTTTTTGCGTTCTAAAATCTGTGGGACATGTGTAACTACATTTAACTATTAAATGGTAAAACAAAATACTCTATACTTATTTATGTACTAATTTTATCTTAACGTGATAGCTTGGAGTTCACATTTACTTTGTTGTATTTGTAAAAGCGATAAAAATTGATTTTAAGTAGTCGAGGAGTTATTGACACGGAAGTAGGCTACAATGTCTCTTGATCTAATTACTTGGTTTGTTTGACACCATTTATTTGACTACCACTAGGAAGTAGGTTATAGCTGGAAATATTTTGTTTCCGTTGTTTTTTTTGTTTTTTAGCAAATTTCCCTATAGGGAAGTAGCTATTACCGTAGGTGGCACGGTAAGACCTAGACCCGGGACCGATTTACTTTTTCATTTTGATGTCCCCAGAGGCCAAAAACACCATTCGTTCAAATTTTTATTTATGAATATATATATATATATTTAGACTTACATCCGTGAACTTGAGTAATTTTTGTCCGATTTTGATGAAATTTGGTTTAAAGGTGTAAAGCGGGATAAACTTGAATGAGTTCGCGAACCAGCACGATCGGACCATGGAAACGGGGCTTTACGGGGGGTTTTATGGGGTAAAAATTGGTTTTTCTCACTTTTGAACCTCAAAACACAAAATGTCCCGATTTCTTTTTAGACCTTTTTAAAGAGCTTAAAAAACAAATAATTTAGTATATAAAAGTATTTTTGTTCAATTATTAGTAACGGAGAAAATTTAAAAAAAATGTAAATTTAAAATTCCCACGTTATTCTTTCGGAGAATATTATTAAATGTTGTAGTTTGCTTGTTTATGGATATATTTTGATCAAACTTGGCAAATTCATTAATTTTGTACTAAGCTATCAATATTTTACTCAAAAACACACTTTATTAGTTTTCTTGTAGCAGCAAACCTAGGTACTCGTTAAACCTAATGTTATTAAAATATATTTAACTGAAAATCAATTAAGACAAATGGAAATTCGCTTAGTCGGCAGGTTTGCTGCGGCGGGGGTATTTTTTAATTAGTACTAGTTGTTTCACCCATTCTTCGCATCAGGCTTAATTTTTGCAAACATGATTATCAACTCAGTCCAAAACATTATGTATAGGGGTTTAAACCTTAGCGGACATTCAATGTCCGAAGCGGCATGCCTATGCTAGGTCGGCCCACTCATATTGCCCCCCTCCTTTCTAGGTTTCGCCTCCATTATTACAACTAATAATAAGACCTATTATATGACTAGACCTGGGACCACTTTTTTTCGTTTTGATGTCCCCAGAGACCTAAAGCATCATTATTTGTTAAAACTCATATTTAGTATATCTGTTTGTGTGTGTGCGTGTGTTGGTGTGTGTCACTGATGAAATGATAGCTCGAGAAAAATCACCCGAATGAGTCCGAGAACCAGCATGATCGGACTATGCGAACTGGGTTTATCGGGTAAAATTGGGATTTACCATTTTCACCCCTATTTTGTAGTTTAGTGTATATAAGCGATGTTGTACGCCTAATGGTTATATAAAAAAAGTATTTAATGTTTCAATGTTATTCTTAATTTTATGAAAATTAAATAAACTGTTGTAGCTGCTTGTTTAGAGATACATTTTTAAAAGTTTTGGCAAATTTGTCTATTTTATAATAAATTTTTGACTATATACAAAAATGGAACAACATGCTCTATTTTTTAACCTTTCTTGTAAAAATGATGGTTCATTATTGACCATAAGTTTCGCACTCACTCAATCGTAGTCCATGGAATGCAGTATTTTAAACAGCTTTAAACACACAGTTAAGATAAATGCACATAGATGATTAAGATTTAACATTTTCCAGTCATTCTTCACACCTAATGTCCCTTCAAACAGCCTGTGGTTTACCTAACTTCCGGTGGTCGGACCCGGAATGGCTCTCTGTTGCGTTTAACCAACTTTAGATCAACTTTGTGTGTCTGACGCTGTATGAACAAGTAAGTAATGAGCTTTAGTAAATGTTCACTAGCTAACGTCTGGCCTTTCCACTAGTGGTAACTAGACTGTAATCTCTGTCAAATTGCTTACCTTTCAATACTAAACTAAATTGATAAATAACTATTGATATCAAATTATTAAAACTGTAGGATTTAAGAACTAATAATAAAATAACGTAGTTATTACATGTATATGTAGGGATATTTACAAAAATTTTTCTCAGATATTCTTTACAGTGCATTATTTCAGTCACTATGAAAAACAATTATTGTTTTTTAGTACGTGTAAAAATTACAAATTATTTATAATTAATATTATAACATCTTATTTCAAATCAGGCAAATAGGAATTCTTTCCGTCTGCAGGTTTGCTGATGAGGGGCTATTTTGCTGAGATATTGAATAAGTTTAGTCATAATACTGTGTTAAATTTTTGAAAAGATTTACCGTTAAACACTTTTCAGGTTATCCATCATGCCGAATGTGCTTACTTTATTTTAAAATGAATTTTACGAGGTAATTCTATCTGTGTGGAAAGACGTGTTTAAGATATGTTTATTAGATAAATCAGAACTTTCAACATTTTTAATACAAGTTTTGGAGTTTTTAATTATAATGTTTACAAAAGACACAAACCTATTTCTAGTTCGGCAACAACTGAGGTTCACCAGAACAGCAAGCCACAGAGTCCGTTTGAAAGGATAAGCGATGAGATATTATCAATGGTAGTACGTGAGCATAGACTTACATGTATTTGTGTTCTTTTCATGTAAATTTAACGGTCGAATCCAATTGTTTTGATCTCTAAACTTCACAAATAAAAAATTCTAGTTTCCTTTATAGCGCAGCAATAATGTTGTTGTTGTTATGATGAACTTAATTTTATTAGCTTCATTTATATTATGAATGTTACTTTCTACACTCGGGTATGTTGTATGGTTTCAAATTAGGGATTGATCAATTATCGTATTTATCAATGGATAACCATAAACTCGAAATTTACAATGAATCATTTATAATGAAGCCAAAATTCCATTACGTACTGGAAGTTAACGATGTAAATAGATTTTAAAATTCGCGTGTCTAACACAATTTTATATAAAAAGTAATATTCGAACCAATTTCTTTGCATATACTCGTCTAAAACTATTTTTGTAGAATTACAAAAGTTATGAAATCCAACATAACACTATTAAAGTAATATTGCTAGTAGAGCCTACTATTAATAGTATCATATTTCCTACATTTACTTTTCACAACCGCAGGTGTTTCTATTAACAAAGACGATGTGTATATATTAATAGAGGGCTCGAATCACCAGTATCGGTTAATAATGACTTACAATGCACGATATTGTTTATTGATTAGCTTAAGAGGAAGTAGTCTTATTTCAGCATTCATTGGCGAACAGCTTAAATCCCCTGCTTGGAAATCAGCTTAGTTTTAAGTTTGTTTAAGCGGATTTTAAACTTTTATAAAAAGCAATTTGAACAAAGATGTTGACACTATTATATTCGACTAAATTTGTACTGAACTACTAGATATTCTTAGGAATCCACGAGTATAATTAAATGTTAACAAAGATGCAGCAAGTAAGTATCGTATCATATGTCACAATGCTAGGTTATAAAGATCAAGGGATTTACTTGGGTTTACAAGATGGGCTACTTAAATATAAAGAAACTACTCTTTGATATACTAAAACAAGTTGGTCCATCAAAATCCATTGATGTTTACTGATAGTCTTCTAAATTGTGAATACATTACTAAAGCAGGTGGACCACCATAGTAAGATACCATTTGCTGATTGCACAATGCACACGTTTATTTAAAAAATAAAATTTAGAGAGTGAAATTGTAATGTAACTAAACTGTAGGTAAATATATGCTAAATTTTAATATTTAATAATTGCCAACTCTTCTTTAAAAATGCTCCAAAATAATTTGTTGTGTTTAAATGATTATACAACAATACGTGTCGGAGAAATTAGATGGCTCTGTTAGTTTATTTCATAAATAATAATTACCCCCGACGTAGCAAACCTGCAGGATAAGCTAATTTCCATTCTCCTGATAGTATTTTCACTAAATATCTTCTTTTAATTGTCATATTTATCCCCTATTCAAATAACACTAACTGTGAGTTCGTCTTTGAATGTACAGTTTTCGGAGTTTTCTCCTTAATGCTTAATTATTTATATATTGGTTATTTGATAATTTTACAACAACCCTTTAAAAAACAAAATTATTTTCTAAGCTCTACGAGATGGCTGTTATAAAGTTTAGAATTTCCATGTTCCCTTAAAGTCAAAATTTTAATAAACTTTATTTAACTATTAAACTCTATAATATTCCTATGACCCTGAAAAGTAAATGGGTCCCGGTTCCAGGTCTTATCGTGACACCTACCGCAATTGGACGGTCGGTAATTTCTTCGGATAGTTAAGAGTAACATTTCACTTACAAGAGTTCAAATCATCATATAATAGTGCCTTGTGCAGGTACTCAATGCTCAACGCACAGGTTTTGTTGCTGCGCGGTTGGTAGATTGCCGCCATTCCTTCTGGTTGCTTCAGTCATCGTTTTCTCCTTGATATTTCTACAAGTTTCATTAAAATGTGCTTTGGATTTCCGGTGAAGTTAACTTCTTGGTTAGGTTTCTCCTATTTTCTTAGAGACCATTTCACAATCATACAGTACAGACATGTTGTTCTATTGAAGCTAGAGTTTTCACTATTCACGAGGTCCACGACTCCATGGGCCTGCCACCATGAGACTAGGTCTACCCAGCACCATCACTCCTGGCTTGCAACCTCTCCCCACCGACCAGTGCACCAACAATATTGAGGGTGACGCCACCACAGCCACCACTAGAAAGCTAGGCCATTGCTAGGCTTGCCCGCCAACTCCTGCCTAACACCGTACTGCGTCTTCTGGGTGGCGGCCATCACTCACTCGGCCTAACACCTACTTTCACCTGCCTGAAACTTCAGCAAGGTTATAACGGTCAGGTCAGTCCAGTCCACATGAAGAAAATTAGGAAATTTAACGTTCAACATCTAATTTGAAGACATTTTAGTTACCACTAACACGTTAAAAATCCTTTGTAATCTTTTTACCTGCATTTCAATTAATAAGTTTTTACCCTCAAAATGTTACGTCCAAATTTATTTAATTAATTGTTTATCTGGGTTTGGCCTTTTCAAATTTTTCCATATCTATATGACCTTTTTCCATACTGATTAATTTCCGTGCGACCACATTTCAAACCATTAATAATCTGTGATATTTGTAATTATGTGTTAATGTCTGTTATTTATTTATGTTAATATCTATTCCACCACTTTTGATAAAGCCTAATTATTTGTATTAAAATAGTTTTAAGGTGGCTTCTTTCTTAAATTTGAAAAACAAATTGTACTAATTCTATTCCAAACTGAATTAATAACTTATACTTAAGCCTAAATATATATATTTTTCAAGTTTTAAAATGAAAATTTTATTCTATTTTAGAGTTATTTGAAACTAAGGTTATGCTTTTGGCACGGGCATTGCCTTGAAATTGAAAAAGAAAGCTAGTTATACATTTAAATGTTGTTCTATTTTGTAAAATAAATTTGCATTTTGTTTCCAGCTAGCTATTGTCTTGCTATTGTTTAGTCATCCACCTATTAGCAATATTAAATCCCACCTTTGATTTTGCGCTTTCAATGGAGTTGGACCCCTGGTATATTCACATAAGTTTAATTTACGACACAACTAAAATAATATAAAAATAATACTAAATATGACATAGATTAGGATCCAATCTTAATCTATTAAGTTTAAAATAATTACGCATTTTCTGAAAACGCTAATCCTTTATAATTTACGTGTTCAGAAATTGCGTAATTTTTTACTAGGAAAAACGTACATGTAGTATGATCATACAACTATACCAACGATCAATTAAAAAATAAATTTCTTTCAACAGGAGAGTGTAGAAAATTCGTCAAGTAGTTGATTCAGATTCTGCGAATAAAAACCCTTCCACCTTAAATATATAAGATATTATAGGAAAAGAGAAAATTAGTTCAACGGGTATCTGGGTTTGATATTACAGGGCAGGTAATCAAGTCGTTTTCTCTTAGTGAAATGCCAATCTATAATATTAAAACGTGGCGGGTTTTTTTATTATTTCACGATTCTGAATCAACCACTTGACGGATTTTCATGATTTTTGTGTTGAGAGAAAGATAATTTTGAGAACTAATGAATGTCGAAGCCATAATTTTAGTTTATGGTTTCAGTTTTTTTAGATAATAAGTTTAAAATTTTAAAAAGTCTAGCAGTCGACGCTAACATACTACACTAGCTTTTGGTTTAATACCATTTGCTTAACGTAACAGAGTAGACCTAAACTAGTGCAACTACCCCATCAGCTGATTTGACAGTTAGAGACGATAGGGGCGGAAACGACGTAGTATAGCGGATTTTAGCCGTTTTGTATATAATTAGCGTATGTTGTCAAAAGTGCAGCAAGCAGGTGGTACCAGGATACAGGTGGTAGGAGCAGGAGGTAATGGATAGGGGATGAAACAGCGGTCTGTACAGTAGTGTGTTTAAATAGCTAACACTTGTGAAAACCGAGGCGCGGTGACCACCGTCGTTAATCTGGGACGGTTTAGAAAGTCTTACGTAAGCGGCCTTGGGTACACGGTCGTCCCGTTCGTTTGCGAACACGGCAGCTTTGAGTCTCATTCAGTGCCTGGTACCCGCGTTGAATAACACAGTACGCTCGGTGTTTGCTCGTTTCTGTATGTGCCGTATGTGTTTACCGCTTGCTGTGTTACAGTCGTAATAATATAGTGGAATGTTGTGTTGGAATATAACACTACACTTTTGAGTTTGCTTGTGTCTGTACCGTCTATATTTTAACAAGTGAAATGTGCTGTGCTTGCGTATGTCTCGAACTATGTGACACAACAGCTGAATCCAGTGTACCACCAACCAACCGCCGCACCGTCATTGGCCGTGTCCATCAATGAGGTATTTTTAAACAAACTTTATAATTTATATCTTATGTTAAACCTCCTAAAAAACAGTTTTGCCGATAGTAATGTAAAATAGCTACTTCCCTATAGGGAAATTCGCTAAAATACAGTAAAATTAAATATTGGTCTTTACATCTAAATATCTTGGTCTAAATATCTTTAAAAACACATCAGTAGTGGTATAAGGGGTGTTCTGCGCACAATTTTTTTGATATAGGGTTTTATATAGTAAAATTAAATATTGCTTATATATATCTTAAAAACACATCAGTAGTGGTATAAGGGGTGTTCTGCGCACAATATTTTTGATATAGGGTTTTATATAGTAAAATTAAATATTGCTTAAAAAAACATCAGTAGTGGTATAAAGGGTGTTCTGCACACAATATTTTTTATATAGGGTCTTATATATAGTCTTTAGAAAGACTGATTTGTTTTGTACGTGAATTATACCCAATTCCATGTGTCCTGACTTGTGTGAATCAAATAAATTAGTTTACCATCTCCAACGTAGGAGGGAGGGTTTGGTATATTTAATTGTGTCGGAAAGCAAACCTCTAAAAACTTGTTGTTATAAAAGAAAATAAATGTTTTGCCATTTGCATTGTGTCTTTGTTCTACTAATTGATAATGTTTGTTTTGCAACAGGTATTTAAATGTAACTTTTTCTGTTTCTATTGGACTCACTAGTTGAGGAAGCTTCATTTCTTGACATATGGCTTCGGGTGATAATTGATTGGAATAATTTGATCCTGATGCATTCCAATGTAGTGGTAATTTAATTTGCTTCTGAAACTTTAGACGTAGTGACATTGACTTGCGAAAATTTCTGGTTTTAGTAGTAGTGGATTTCTTTAAATTTTCTTTTATTCTCTCTAGTTTATCTTGTGTGATTTTACTTGGCTTGTCCATAGTTAACATCAGAACAGAGCTAGCATATGTGAACAGTCTCCGTTGAAGGTTCGACACTGAATGATATGATGTTGGCGTTTTCCTTACTTAGTAAGTAGAATTACCCGACAGTAGGGAAATTTACCCGCGAAGCAGGGTAAACCTCCCAACTGGCCCCCCTCCCAACCGACTCGCGCATAAAAGTAGCGGCAGCGAACGGACTGTAGTCAGTCTCTCCCAACTGGTTCAGCTGACTGGTTGTGTGCAGACTGACTGACTTCTGATTAAAACCTTTCGTTAGATTTGGCCAATCTAACTTAATGTTTTACTCAATAGCATGTGCTGCATGTTGGTTTTAGCTTGTAGCTTAGATGGTTTTACTTTAAGGAGTGCATCGTGTCTTTGGTACTTGAATTGTGCAGAGTGTTGTATTTTAATCATGTGATATTTCAGCTAACAAAGGATTAAGAAGTCCCCCTATTACAATGAACACTCTTTTGTGACTGTAAATATTCTATATTTAAAATTTAAGTTGACCATTTTGTAATTAGTTGAAAGGTCCAACGGCCTGCATACTATTCTGCATTTGGTTGAATTAAATTTTAAATGTTTTGTTGTCATTGGTAGTTTACTCATGTCAGCTAACAATGAACACTTTCTCGTGACTGTACATATTCTATATTTAAAATTTAAGTTGACCATTTTGTAATTGGTTGAAAGTTCCTACGACCTGCATACCATTCTGCATTTGGTTAAATTAAATTTTAAATTTCAGAGATAGAGCAAGTTTGACACACACAAACATCTTTATGGGGACAGTTCGTCGACTGCGCTGCTCCGGCTATTGCTAATGAGTCTTTGATCAATACCACGAGGACAATCCTTCGGCTGCGCTGCCTCTGATCAAAAAGACTGTAACATTGGTCTTTAGCCAATTCAGACTTACACACAAACACAAAAATAAAAACAAGCACTAAGCCCCCCCGCTACAACAAAAGGAGAGATGGAGCAAACTTTTGCTCCATCTCTCCTTTTGGTATTATTTTGAAATGACCTTGACCTACTTACAGGACTTTGAAAATATCTTGGAAAAACAGAAAACGGTAGTAGTGGATCTGGCTTGTATATGTTTGAATCCAACCGGGTGTGTGTTCTAGCTTGGACAATCACTAATTAATTCACATAAGCAGGTGCAGCGTTGTTCTACCCCCACTACTCAACCCGAGCGTATAAAAGGGCTGTGAGCAGTCGGATGTTTGCCAGTCTTGCACAACCGATGAAGCTGATCGGATGGGTAAACTGGCTATAGACGAGAACCTTAGTTTAGAGTCGGTACCACTCTAACCTAAGGTTCTTGTCACCTAGTAGTTATATTAGAAGCATGTTGATTGTAGTATTTGTTGGCTTGTAGTTTTGAGGGTGTTTTGCGTATTTGTATCTTTGGTAAGGGTGTTGTATTTCTTAATTATGTGATGTTCCATTTCAGGTATCAAAATAATTAAGTCCCTATTAGTAATTTTTATTTTTTCAATTTGAGTTGATCATTATATGTTACAAAGTTCTAAGTGACATTAGTAAGTTGAAAACGTTCACACAAAACAAAAACATGAAACGAATAATAAATTTATGACATAGAGTTCTCTTTGACATACACACATTTTTTTTATGGGGACAGTTCGATGACTGCGCTGCTCCGGCTATTGCTAATGAGTCTTTGATCAATACCACGAGGACAGTCCTTCGGCTGCGCTGCCTCTGATCAAAAAGACTGTAACATTGGTCTTTAGCCAATTCAGACTTACACACAAACACGAAAATAAAACAAACACTAAGTTTCCCCACTACAACAAAAGGAGAGATGGAGCTAATTTTTGCTCCATCTCTCCTTTTGGCATTATTTTGAAATGACCTTGACCTACTTACAGGACTTAGAAAGCTTCCTGTACATACATTATTGGGAACCGAGAACAGTTCTTTTAAGTTAACACCAACGGACACAACATTTCCCCTCCAACCACAAGCTTCCCCCTCCACCCACAAGCTTCCCCCCTCCACTTGAGTTTTGCTATAAAAGGAGGTTTGCTTTGCAGGCAATCGTCATTCCATGATCTGGAGTAGTCCTAGCTAGCTGAGTCAGCTCAAACTATTATTCACTGTTTCATTTGTTATCATGGCTTACCTTAGAATTCCCACTAGACCCTCGAAAGTAGTTTCTTCATCTTCAAAGTCTCTTCCTCGGTCTATTTTAATTTCATCGCATGCGTCAGATCCAAAATCGGTTCTTCGAGAAATACTGCAGTCAGAAGGTGCAAGTCCTGGAGCAGAAGAACAATACGCCTTCCGAGCCATTGGTGATCAATCTCCTCCACTGATTGAAATATTATCTTCATCTTCATCTTCACAATCAAGTTCGTCTTGTTCATCTTCTTCTGAGTCAACCTCATCTGTTTCATCTACAAGCTCTTCCTCGTCCTCTGACTGCACTGTTGCTGATATTCTATCAACACCTACTGCTACTAGAACTTCATCTCCACCTCCAACTTCTACACCATGTATTTCTCCCTTGACAACTCCACCTTTACAATTCACTATTCCACCACCCATCATATCTCCTCTAAAAGACTCCCTACCAGCCACTTCCAAATCCTTTGACCACCTTCACACTTCTCCTTCAGATAAGTGTAAACAATTAATTGCTGACAGGAGAAGAAAATTTGCACACACCCTCTCTAAGTGTCGATATGTTTTTAAAAAGGGTGCTAGTAAGGGGGAACACTGTGAAAAGGTTTGTGTTTTAAATAGTGATATGTGCTCCATTCATTCAAAACACAATAAAACCACAGAGTCTTCCAATAAAATTAAAGAACTTCCCAAAGCAATCCGGGTAAGAAGGATGAAAAGGTGTACGAAATATTTCTTTGTCAGATGTGTATGGTTTAATAACATCATTATAAAACGTAACGATACAGGAGAGCATTTTTCAATTAGATTACCAAGAGATGTTGTAAACCCTGAACATCCGAAAAGAACTGACTACCTTATCCGGGATGCTAAAGGAAGATTGTCTTGGAAATCTTCAATTTCCAAGATCAAAAAGACACGGTAAATTTTTTCCTTTTAACATTTTACATTACCAAAGATAACACAGTAAATTCAATTTTTCCAAATTCTTAAAAAAAATGTGTGAGCAATTTGTTTAATTCTGATACATCATGTGTAAAAACATGCTGCAGAATTAAATGAATTGTTCACACATTTTTTTTATTATCTTGCAATGACCTTGACCCACTTCTTAAACTTAGAAATTTCTGCAAAATTTTAAAATAATGATAATATCAATTTCTACCACTACTAAGGTGATTTGTTTAACCCCACCCCCCTTTACCCCCACCAGTACATAAAGGTATAAAAGACGCTTGATATTGCACATGATTCATTCTTAGATTGGAGCTAGCAGAGGCAAGTTTAACTATGAATTCCCCAGCTACAATAATAATTAAAAGAAACTTAAAAAACCTTCAAGAAGCATTTGCATTCAGGGGAAGTTTAGAAAAATATTTAAATCATAGTGTGACATGTCATTTTACTTTGTGGAAGGAAGAGAGAAACATCTGGAACTCAGAAGCAAACGGGTTGAAACTAGAATTAACTGATGTACGATTTAATAAAATAATTCGAAGGCTAGTGGAAATGTTAGAAAAAGGGTATATTGTGACTGCCACATTCTACATAAAACCAGACCGCAATAACTAAAAACAAAATGGAGTAAAGGTTAAGGGTGGGGGTAAAGGTGAATGGTGGGGGTTTGTCTATATAACATGTTTGCTGAGGTACAATCAGTTACTTCAGATTTACCACTCTTGTACATTATGTCTCCTGTGGACAATATTTTCCCGACAACTTCTTTTTTAAAAACCTTATTGGAAAACATTGTTTTTGAAGCTGGTTCAGAGGAAGAAGACATAGACTTGGAGGAAGAATCTTTATCCGAAGAAGAGTTGGAATCGGATGGTGACGAAAATTTGGAAGTATTGACTGATGAAGAGTTAGATGAAGAAGATAGAAGTTTTCTACTTGTTGAAGATTCATCATCTACTGAAGAGATGGTATGCTCGGAGAAACTTGTTGAGCTAAGGGAAACACCTACAACAAGTCATATAATGTTTAGTGCAATGTTTAGAAGTATAAGACGATTGTTTGACTCTGACTCTGACTCTGACTCTGACTCTGATAGTGTACAAAAATTAAAATGAGAGGGTGGGTTGGGAGTTTGTTTTGCAAATCATCAATTTCCAAAACAAATACAGTAAATTTTCTATTTCTAAATTTGAATCTTTGAAATATTTTTGATTTCTTTTAAAACCTGATACTGTAATCATAAAATTCCAAAAACATAGTAAATCAGCTTTTTCAAAATTTTGAAAAAAAAGTCTGAGCAATTTGTTTAATTCTGGTACATCATGTGTAAAAAAACATGTTGCTGGGTTAAATAAATTGTTCACACATTTTTTTATTATTGTACAATGACCTTGACCTACTTAAAGAGTTTAAAAATTCCATGGTTCAACAATAAGGGAAAATGTTACCCATTTCCCCCACTACTATAAAGTAAAGTGGGGAGCGGTCTACCCCCACCACTATATGTAGGTATAAAAGAGGTTTGATATCCCGCATTAAACATTCTTATTTTTGGAACTCGCAAACGCAAGTTTAGTGAAGATGGATAAAAAAAAGATTAGACATAATGAAAGAGAAAGAATGAGGGTACTGAAGCTAAACGAAACATTTGAGGTATTGAGAACCGTCCTCAAAGCTGAAAAAGGAAAATCTAAACTTCAAATTATAAATTTAGCAATTGAGAGAATAAGATTCTTAGAAAAGGAAGTTGAAGAAGCAAGAATGAGGACTGTTGGAGAAATGAAAGAAGCTAGTACTATAATTGATAACCACGTTGAAAAATTAAAAGATGATGATGAAAAAATGCTGTCGGATATGATCCAATTAATGAATGGTGAAATGGAAGAGCGGATTCTGTCGGACATGATGGAGTTATTGGATAGGGAAATTGACGAAGAGTACTAACAAATACAAAAGGGGAACTGGGTAGGTTGGGTTTGTCTTGGAAATCTTCAATTTCCAAGACTATAACACAGTAAATTGGGGATTTTCCAAGTTTTGAACAGTAAATAACTTTTTTCCAAATTTTGAATAAAAAAATGTCTGACCAATTTATTTAGTTCTGGTATAACATGTGTAAAAACGTGTTTCAGAGTAAAATGAATTGTTCACGCATTTTTTTATTATCCTGCAATGACCTTGACCTACTAAACAGGAATAGTTAGTAAAAAATAAAATACCTCGTTTTTCTATAAATATGTTTCAAAGTTGGAGAATAGCCTGTATTTACGTTAGATTATAAAAAAATTAGGGAATGGGGTGATGTCATTAATTAAATAGTAGTAGAGGGGATAAAGAGGGGAGGGAATGGTATAAATAGAGGTGGATGTTCATACCTTTCATCAGTATGTTGCTGCTTCTTGAATAGAGAACATCTACAACATGCTACGCTGCGCCATTTGTCAAGCCACATTCGAGGATGAGATAGATCTTCTACTTCATGAAATAGTCGATCATCCTACAAATGAAGAGGAATTGGAAGGATATCAAGACTTGATTGAAGAATTGAATAAAATAGGACAAGGAGAAGAAGAAGAACCCAAACCATCCACTTCAAGAGATCAAAGAGAAGAAGAACCAAAACCATCTACTTCCATGCAACGCTGCGCCATTTGTCAAGCCGCATTCGAGGATGAAATAGATCTTGTACTTCATGAAATAGTCGATCATCCTACAAATAAAGAGGAATTGGAAGGATATCAAGACTTGATTGAAGAATTGTATAAAATAGGACAAGGAGAAGAAGAAGTACCCAAACCATCTACATCAGGAAATCCAGGAACAGAAGAACCAAAACCATCTACTTCAAGAAATCCAGGAGAAGAAGAACCGCAACCATCAACTTCAAGACCAAGTGTTATTCATTATGCACCCAAACCCCCAACTTCACCTTCAACTGATGCATCTCCAACAAATGTGGAACTACACGCTCATGCTCTATCGGGTAAAGTGGTAACACATTTTAAAATTGACAATGCTACATTAAAACTAGAAGAATTTATGTTTAGTGCAAAAGGACTAGTAATTGAAACGCTACAAAATGAATTACAAAGATTAAATTTTTTAAAGTTTGGACTATTGCTGGATGTTATATTTATCAACATGCAAAATGAAACATCACCTAGGGGATTTTTAACAAAAAACAGAACCATTATGTTTGCCTCAGATATTGAATCAATTGTAGATGAATGTTTTGAAGAACTTTTGACAAAATTGCAAGAACATGAAGGCAGAGGATCAGGATGGACTGTATTCAGCATATCAGGTTTGGATGTAAGAGTACATAAACATGGATATGGAATGAGAGGAAGTAGCTATATTCCTCTTCCCAAGAAAATTGCAGACACTAAATCATGTATAAATATACAAAATGATGATACTGAATGTTTTAAATATTCAATGTTGGTGAAATATGTCAAAAATAATAATCCACAAAGGGTAGGAAGAGAATATGAAGAAGTGCAGCACAATTATAATTTTCAAGGAATGAGCTACCCTGTAAAAATCAAAGATATCACCAAGTTTGAAAAAAAGAACCCAACTGCTTCTGTAAATATATATGGTTTAGATTCATCAAACAATGTATATCCACTACGTATAAGTGCACAAGAACTAATGAATCACACAGACTTGTTATTAATCACCAAAGGTGAAATATCGCACTATGTATATATTAAGAACTTTAAAAAACTTGTTATTTCACAAACTTCAAAGTATAGAGGATGTAAGACAATTTGTAAAAGATGTTTCTGTCATGTGAACAAATCTTTGAGAAATGGAGGGTCCGAATGGTTGTTGGAACATAAAAGGTTATGCAATGGAAATGAAGAAGTTAAGATTAACCTACCACCAGCTGATAGATCATTTGTACAGTTTAATAATGTATATCAGCAATATAGAATTCCTATTGTCGTGTATGCCGATTTTGAATCTACTCTACTACCGTTGGAACATCAAGAGGACGACACATCAAGAAGAAACAAGTACCAACTACATTCACCCAACAGTTTTTGTCTACTCATCAAGTCAACGCTTTCCGAAGAATATTTACAAGATTATGGACTGACAGCTGAACCAAAAGTGTATCGTGGTGAAGATGCAGCTAAACACTTTGTTGACGAGCTTTACTATATAGCTGAAAAAGTAGAGGCAATGTATGCACAGGTAAAACCTATGACACCTATGTCACCCGTTGAAGTTCAAGAATACGATTTATCAACTTCATGTTTTCTGTGCAAGAAATCATTTACAGCGGATAATCACAAAGTGCATGACCACGACCATCTGACTGGAAGCTACAGAGGTGCTGCGTGTAACGCTTGTAACTTAAACTATAAAATTCCTAACTATATTCCAATTGTAATGCACAACTTAAGCGGCTATGATGGACATTTTATAATACCTGAATTAGGAAGGGACAATGGTAAAATTTATGTATTAGCCGTAACGATGGAACGGTTTATTAGTTTTTCAAAAACGGTTGGTAAAATGAAACTCAGATTTCTTGACTCCTACAGATTTATGCCTTCTAGTCTTATGAAACTATCAGAAAATTTGACAAGAGAAAATTTAACAGAAACAAGTAAAATAGTAGAAAACAACAAATTGGATTTAGTTCTTCGAAAAGGAGTCTTTCCCTATGATTACATCGATGGATTGCACAGATTTGACGAGACATCACTTCCTCCACCAGAAGCCTTTACCAACAAGCTGAACAATTCAGAAATATCACCAGAAGATTACCAACATGCATGCAGAGTTTGGAACGAACTTGATATGGAAACATTAGGGGATTATTCAGATTTTTATGTTAAACTCGATGTTACTTTGCTTTGTGATGTGATGGAGGAATTCAGAAACACCTGTTTAGAAGCATACGGATTAGACCCTCTTCATTCTTACACCTCTCCAGGATTAGCTTGGCAGGCGATGTTAAAAGAAACCAATTGCAAACTTCAACTGTTAACAGATATTGATATGGTGCTGATGGTTGAGTCCGGTGTCAGAGCAGGATTGACTCAAAGCGTTGTAAGACATGTAAAAGCCAACAATAAAGACCTGCCAAACTACAACCAGCAAGAGCCATCAGTTTATCTTGGGTATTTTGATGCAAACAATTTGTATGGATGGGCAATGTCCAACCCCCTTCCATATGATAACTTTAAATGGATAGACCCAGAGTCAATTGGAGATATTGTTCAAATTCCAAAACATGGTGACACAGGATATATATTAGACTGCGATTTCGAGTACCCAGAACATCTACACGACCTTCACTACGATCTTCCTCTTTTACCAAAAACTGAAATTTCACCAACTGGAAAACATCCTAAATTAATTATGAATTTAAATCACAAGCAAAGATATGTAGCGCACTTTTGGATTGTACAACAAGCACTTGAATTAGGTCTTCGTCTAACCAAAGTACACAGAGTTTTGGAATTTTCTCAATCTTGCTGGCTGAAACCCTACATCGATTCCAACACTACAAGAAGAGCAGCAGCAACGTCAGCCTTCCAGAAGGACTTTTTTAAATTAATGAACAATGCGATATTCGGTAAAACTCTGGAAAATAAAAGGAAACACAAAAATGTAAAACTTGTAACAGATGCTAGGAAATTGGAAAAACTTGTACAGAAACCCAACTTTGGATCATCAGTAATCATTAATGAAAACCTTGTTGCCGTATCTATGAAGAAAACTAGTATAAAAATGGATCGACCTTTGTATATAGGAATGTCAATATTAGATATATCAAAAACGCACATGAACGATTTTCACTACAACAAGATGGTTGCACATTATGGAAGAGAGAACATAGTTATAACTTACATGGATACAGATGCTTTTATTTACAAGATAATTACTCAAGATATGTATAAAGATCTTCGCACATTTGTATATAAAGATGAATTTGATTTTTCTGACTATCCTAAAGATCATCCAAACTACGATCAAAATAGAAACAAGAAAGTATTGGGGAAATTTAAAGATGAGGCTAACGGAGTGTTACTTGAAGAAATCGTAGCACTAATATCAAAATTGTATGCTGTGAAACTACATGATGACAACATTATTAAAAAGGCAAAAGGTGTAAAGAATTTGTATTTGAAGAAAAATGTACTTTTTGAAGACTACAAGCAAGTGTTGTATGAAAACAAAGTTATAACTGCAAACTTCAACACAATCAGGAGTTATAATCATCAACTGTACAGCGTGACAGAAGTTAAGAAGGCGCTCTCCTGCAACGATGACAAACGACACATCCTACCAGACCGGATCCACACACTTCCATTTGGTCACTATTCCCTTAACCCTATCGACTAATTACCTTTCCATCGTCCTACACCACTTATCCTTTCTCCTTTCCGTAAAATTGGGGGAACACAGCATTGTCCGCTGTGTTCCTCCTTTTTTACACAAGGTTTGAATGACCTTGACCTATATAAGGAGATGTAAGACAAAATGAAAATCATTACTTTGCCAACATTGACAGTGAAAACACAACATAATGGCTTTTAAAGAAAACATTGTAAATGAGCTACACAAACCTGCAAGAGTAAACTTTCCAAGAAGAAATACAACTGTAAAAGGAATAAATGATTTGTATCAAGCAGATTTGATTGAAATGCGACCATATAGTAAAATAAATAAAGGACATCATTATATACTTACAGTGATTAACTGTTTTACCAAAGTTGCAGATGCATTACCATTAAAGGATAAAACTGGTTAAAGCGTAACACAAGCCATGGAAATCGCTATAAAGAGAGATAAAAACAAAATGAAACATTTACAAACTGATGACGGCAAAGAATACTTCAATAAAAGGTTTTCAGAGTTAATGAAAAAATACAACATAAACCACTACTCAACCAAATCTGAAAAAAGCTGCTATAATTGAAAGATTTAATAGAACGTTAAAAGGAGCAATGTATAAAATGTTTTCAAACAGAGGAACCTACTTATGGATTGATATTTTACCAAAGTTAATAAGTGATTACAACAACAGGTTTCACAGAACTATTGGGATGACGCCAAATGAAGTAAACAAGAAAAATGCTAAACTTGTATTAAAAAGAATAAAGCACAATACAAAACCTAAAGTTGAAATAAAGAAGCCTAGAAAATTCAATGTAAATGATAAAGTTCGAATAAGTAAGTATAAAACGATATTTACTAAAAAATATCTACCTAATTGGACAAATGAAGTATTTACCATATACAAAGTGCAACCAACTATACCAGAAACATACATATTAAAGGATAATAAAAGCAATTTGTTACAAGGTGCGTTCTACGGACATGAACTATTGAAATCTACAGTAGGTGATGTATATCTTGTTGAAAAAGTGTTACAAAGGAAAAAAGACCAAGTTAAAGTACGATGGCTAGGTTTTAACAAAACAGAAGATTCTTGGATACCTATAAAAGACCTAATTTAACGGGAACAGCTCATTGTACCATTGGATTTTGAATAAGATGGAGATTGTTCATCATAAAGATCAATTCAACATTAGTAATATCGATGATTACACTGTTGATAACGACACAATCAACACTGGCAAACATGGTAGTTTACTTCCAAACACAGTCAGATGTATTATAAGTGGTCCTTCGAACTGTGGAAAAACAAATGTCGTATTTAATTTGATTACAAATCCTAAAGGATTGAGATTTAATAACTTATACATATTTTCAAAGTCACTACATCAGCCAAAGTATCAATTGTTGGATAAAATCATATCGCAGGTGTCAGGTGTTAACTTTTATAAATTTAACGCCAGTGATAAAGTTTTGCAACCAAACCAAGCTAAACCATATTCAGTATTTCTATTTGATGACGTTTCATGTGAAAATCATGATACTATTAGGAACTATTTCGCCATGGGAAGACATAATAATATCGACAGCCTATATATAGGACAAACATACAGTAAAATTCCAAAGCAACTT